ATTCTTCCTCTTATGCTTGGCCTCACGGGCCGGTTTCTTTCTCCTGTTGGTGGTGTTCCCTCGTTGGCTCTGTGGCCAGTCTGGTGGCATATGAAGCACTTGCTGCTCTCATATGTTCGGTCCTTTCTTTCTCTGAGAGGCGGTCGACCTCCATGGAGTCTCTGTCTCCTCGCGGTTGGTACCTTTCAGGTCCAAACCGGTTCTTCTTCTTCTGGCCCTGGTTGTGATTCTTGGGCCTCAGCGCTATGATCTGCTGATAGGCGTTATCCATCTCTCTGGCCGTATTGACCATTCCTTCGAAGTCCTTCGAGATATTGCCTGCTCTGTAGATAGCATTGGCAATTCCGAATTTCAATCCGGCGGTAAAGAAGTGGACTCTTGATCCTTCATCGGTGAGACTGGTTAATTGGAAGAGATGTCTTATCTCCGCGATGTATTCTTCTAGGGACCCTTCTTGTTTGAAGGTCCTGAGCTTGATCCACGCTTCGGTGGCTGCTTCTCCCGTGGTGAATGCTTTGAGAAAGGCTTTTTTGAAGTCTTCCCACGTTCCGTACCCGATGGGTTGCTTATTCTTGTCTAGCCTTGTGGCGTCTTGGGCTAGAGTCAGGAAGTCCTCCTTCCAGGTCAATGCCGTTTTTTCATTCATGAAAGAGGTGGCGAAAATGATGCACTTCTTGTCAGTGTCATAGATTTCACTGTTGATGTCAAGGTAGGCGGCGACCGAGAGCAAAAAGCTTTTTGCATTCTTCTCGTTGCCATCAAAGGTCGGTGGGGTTCCGATCTTTATTTCGATGGGTCTGTGGGCGGCTGCTGCTGCTGCTGCTGCGACGGCAGTGGCACTGGATGAGGCGGAATGTCCCGACATGTTTCCAAATGCAGCGGCAAGGATGTTCGCGGTTATCGAATCAATGGTGTCGAAGTACTGTTGGAGAACAGGTACTGGGTGAGGAACTTAATCTTTTGTTACGACTGGGATAGTTCTGCTGTTGCCGGTCAAGATAGACCTGTCGGGCGAACAGTTCGTCGGCCTTCCTAATACAAGGAAGGTTTCTGATGGTTCCTACTGCACGAGCCGCGGCTTCTATGCAGGATCAGCGGCGAGTGGTTTTAGCACTTCTACCGCAATCAAAGGTTTCAGGCTAAGACAGTGAGTGACTGCCTTAGAATCAGAGTTCAGACTACTAAGGGTGGAGACCTTAGGAGATCAGGTTTCAAGGGGAAAACCCAGTAGATTAAGTTAAGGAATACATCTATGGTACATGGGGTTTATATAGGTAAAAGGAGACGGCGTAGCCGCGACAAGAAAAGTAACAGAGATAGGAAAAAGAGTACAACCTATCAAGATAGCAAAGATAGGTGAAACCGCCATGCGGCTCAAGATAGTATCTATGTTACAATCAGAAAGAAGAGAAGTGCGGACAGCCCGCTTGATAAGAGAATAGCCGAGTCTAGATGAGTCTAGAATCGGCGGCATGTTTACAAGAAACAGAAAAATGAAATAGGAGTAAATGTTATTGTAACACTTGCTTTTGCTTCAACATCAATCAACTGTTGCAGTCATTGCATGGCAACAATATGTTCAAGGTGCATCGCATTTTTCTAATCTCTAACCACAAATTTTGGTATAAATGAGCTACTACAGGTACAATATTCACCCTTCTGGCTGCGAGAATGTCTTGCGCACTTGGATCCAATGGCCAACTCAAAGACGCTAGCGCCATTGATTGGTACAATGATCCTGACGATGACACCCCCATGCTTGCTCCACCTCCGCCTCCTGCATCCAATGGCAAGCTAACTGCCTTCGTGTCTCGCTCAGGCCGAGCCGTTAAACCGACAGAAAAAATCCGCAATGCTGGCAACACAGCTCCAGCCAAAGCTGCCAAACGAGTGGCTCCAGTGCCTCCCCAAGGACAGCCCGCACCCAAGCGAGTGCAATGTGGGTCCCACGATGATGATGACGACGAACCCCCTGCACTAGAAGATTGCTCAGATGATGAAGAAGAGGCCGAAGAAGCTTACGAGCAGACCAAGGTATTTGGAGACAAGGATCGTGAGGATCGCAAGCATAAGAAGAAAGAGGAGCGCAGTGGGGATTTGAAGGTAGTATTTACTCAGGAGAAGGGACACATCAATCCGCACACCCAAGAACCCGAAGACGGCTGGTGGTGCGAGCTGTTGAAAACTGGGTACTGTCAAGGCCATATTTCCGCAATGGTTCAAGCTGAGTTTGCTGCTGCTCACGAACACTCTGCCATGGACGAAATTTAGCTACTCATTTACTGTTCATGTATTTCTTGCAATTTTTGTCAATTTATATGTAGCGTTCGAGTGTTCAAACACGTTCTGAACTCGAACCGAACGCTTGTGAACGCGTTCATCAGCGTCCGGTCCAGCGTTCGTCCTCCTTGCCTGAACGCGACCGATGGTCCAGTTCAGCGTTCGCATTTAGAGGCCTAAGAACCGAACCGAACCGGACTTTGGCACCACTAATTGCAAAGTCGTTCAAGCTGTCACGCACCAGCACAACTAGTGAGTGCATTTTAGTTTATGAGCCGTTACATCTGATCTAGAAATTTTGGCAATTTGATTGTGAAACAGATGCAATGCACTACTGTGACTTTGATACATGCTTCATACAATTGATATGACACAAGCCCGTCTTGAAGACGCAGCAGATGCTAAACCTCAAACTAAAGACTGTCAAATTGGCACCAGCTCTAAACAGGAATGGGAAAATCTTTGGCCAGAAAGCCTGCCAGCAATCAACTAGAAGGTGCATGGTTCTGGAATTGCCCTCCTGGCGCAGGTCGGTTCATTCTGGTCAGCATCAGCAAATTTGGCATGGACAAATAATGGTGATAAAAATTATTGCTCTGTTCCACCAATCGGCCTGTTGCAACAAATCAGATGTGCAATATTAAGTCATCCCTTGGGGCCTGAATAACAAGATAATGATTTTGCAAGGAGTTTGTGAGGTACCACTAATAATTTATTCGGCAAGAGATGTATTTTGATGTTCTCATGTCTGCTACAGCTCCATTATGGAAACAATGTGCCCTGACATTTGGGACTGTCAACTAATGCTATCAACTCAGGGATTGCAAGTGACTTCCTCCACCAGGGGGTTTCTACTTGTTGAACGTTGCATGTTTGTCGTCACCATCATAAAGAAAGTTGGATACATAGATATGGTCCCTATAACTTAGCTGGATTGGAACCAAGAACAAGTTTGGTAGTAGATGACACGCTGAACAGTACCATATATCAGTATTACAATTATCAATGAATATTTAGAGCGCCAGAATATGAAAATTATGATTGCATCATTGTATGGGGTATATACTACAATGGCGAAAGATAAAATGAATATCGAATCAGTCTGAGTCAAAAACAGCATCCTCCAGCGCCTTTCTCTGTTGGGCGAGTGTGGTGACAGACATATGAGATACGACCTCTGGTGTCAGGTCTTGACGATGGTTATTTCCAAAAACTTTCCTAAATAATAATGTCAGATATCTCTTATGTACGCCGTAAGGCAGAATATACCTAGTCCACCATTCGAGAAGTTGGTTCACCCTACTTTGTGCAACAGGCCCTGGGAGATCCTTGAAAAAGTCCACCACATTATTCCAAAATGCTTCATAGTCAAAGTCGCCATAAATGGTGCGCCAAGATGAGATGTTGGACAGCGCGAAATGAACCTTATTGCATGTGAGGCTTTGATGGTGGGTAACAATTTCTACTCACTTGGCATACAACATAGGCTATGGAGCAAGGAGTGACCTTGCTCATGTTAATGATGAAAGCCACACAGGTTTTAACCTTGGCTTATTTAACTGTCACTGGGCACACCTATTGTTTTTGAGGATGTCTGCTCCATCGCTGTCTCCATCAGCTTCTCTTGCAGAAGAGGGAGATGTGAAAATAGCTTTAAAAGCCTAACCCAGTAATTATTAGTATGATCATTATTGCCCAGGCGACTGACCTGAACCAGAATCTTGGACTTAAAGAGGCCTTGCTCGAGGTTGCCATAGCTGACTGTGTATTTCTCATACAAGAATAGCAGCCAGGAGTTTTCCGATACAATGTAATCTACTGTTCTGTCGCGGATACCAGCTTTCACCCTGTCAAATCATCAGGGTTATCTAATAGCCGATGAAGGCAGACACTCATGCGTTATCACCCCAGTGCCACTCTGAAGGGCACAATAACTTCCCACAGATGTCGTGTACAAAGCCACACATCAGCTTATTATCAGATTTCAGTAGAGAAGACGGTTGAAAATCTTGATTAATCCATGAAG